GCCTCCGAGTGTCCCAGCCCGGAAGGGCAGCCGCGTGCTGTGTGCCCACCCGGCAGCTCACAGCGGGGGCTCTGCCTCGAGGACCCCGGACCCTCTGTCCTCACCCAGGGCCCCGCCCGTCTTGAGCGGTGCTGGTGGGGGCTCCCTCCGCTACACCCCAAGCGTCCTTCCTGGCAGGAGGGAGGGGCGGAAAGCCTTTCGGAGGGAGAACAGTCGCTCAGGGGAGCTGGGTGGGGGGACGGTGCAGCCCGTCTGTCCTGCCCCCCCAGGGACCCGCTCCTCCCGAGACCTTCCAGAGCCGCCCTCTCCTTCCTCTCTCCCTCTCCTCTCCTCCTCTCTCCTCTCTCTCTCTCTCTCTCTCTCTCCTCTCTTCCTCCTCTCTCCCCTCCCCTCTCCCTCCCTCTCCCTCTCCTCTCCTCTGCAGAAGGCAGAGAAGGGGGCCGTCTCCTCCGAGCGCAGGCCTGTTGAAGGACGGGACGACCGGTTGTGGAACCTGCAGATGCGGCAGTAGACTCCAGGGCGGGGGGAATAAGCCTGACTGGGAAGCCGAAAGGAAGAAGAAAGGGAATGGGAAGCGTGAAGGAAAACAGAAATCCTGGACTGCTGGAGGGCTACGTCCAGGAAAACCCTGAAGGTTGAACTCCACAGGAGAGAATCACATCGGGAGGGCGGAGCACCGGCACGAGGTCTTGGAGCAAACCGCGTTGCAGAGAGGACGCAGACCCTCGGCCACGCTGGGTGACGGCGAGTGTGGTGGAGGGAGTGGCCGAGGGGGTGTGGAGCGCTGCAGCCCTTTAGAAAACGTTAGAAGGCCGGGCGGTTAGAAGGCGGCGGCGCGGTGGCTCACACCTGTAATCCCAGCACTCCGGGAGGCCAGGGCAAGAGGATCTTTGAGCCTGGGAGTTCCAGACCCAGCCTGAGCAAGAGTGAGACCCCGTCTCTCTCAAAAATAGAAAGAAGTTAATTGGAACAGCTAAAAATATATAGAAAAATCAGCCCCGGCCATGGTGGGGCAGGACACCGGTCCCACAGCTGGGACACCTGCCTCCGCAAGCCAGGGACAATGGAGAGCTGCCACTAACGTGTTTTTTTAAAAAGACTGTCAACATAGAAGAATCATTTCCCCAGAGAAAACATCTTTCAAAAAAATGAAGGGAAGCAAAGACTTCCTCAGTCGAGCAAACAAACACACGAGAACGCATTGCCGGCGTGGCTGCCGCGCAGGAAATGCAAAGGAAGTTCTGCAGAACGAAAAATTCACAAGAGATGAACGTCTAGATCTGGACTGAAGGGGAACCAGCCCTGCAGAGGGAGCAAGCGCACAGCCACCGAGGTGAAAGGCGTTTTTCAGTGGTTTAAAGCAACGACAGGGCGGGGGTGGGGGGAGTTAGAAGCGTGTTGCTGCGCAACATTTGGGGGATGGACACGCTTGAAGTTCTTACTCGAGGGGCAGGGGGCATGGGCAATCTACGTAACCTTAACACTCGTATCCCCATAATACACTAAAATAAAAATAAATACATTTCTTTAAAAAGCGTGTTGCTGTCAGGTCAAGTTGCATGTGGAATTGTGCGACTTTTAAAATTCATGGACTCCTTTGTAGAGCAGTTTCAGCTTACAGACAACTGGGTGGACGGTGCAGAGGTTCCCGCCACCCCCACACATGCACGCAGATGCCCGTGGGGACACCTGGCCGGAGGACACCTGCCACAGCTGGAGAACAGTTACCTGGCCGCAGGTATTGACAAGGTCACCTTGGCCCATTCAGCGCCGCCGCCGTGACGCGATGGCCTTGCCATGAGCCCGTCTCTGCAGACGGTGCTGCTCCTTTCGTGGCGCGAACGTCCCTCCCAGCGTCACGTGGTGACCACGGCAGCTCCCAAACCAGAGGGAGGGAGACTGCCTCACATCTGTCCCCT